CCTTTAAAGTAAATACTGACCAAAGAGCGAGCCATCTTACAGGAAGTGTGTGCTCTCTGGGTGCTTCTTGTTATAGCCTTTATGAATGCCTCATTTCTACCTCTGACAAATCATACAATTTAAGCATTTTCTAAAAGAAAAACAAAACCTAAATAAGCAAACATACTCAGGAAATCCAAGTAAACTTAAAAATGGAATAAAAACTGATGAGGATGGGCAGCTGACACGTATAGTGATGCAACAGAAGAATAAAACCAAACAATTCATAAACATTGTTGATAGCAATTTTTATTGAACAGAAGAAACTAACTCAAAGTGAGTGTGTTAGACTGTGGTTCATCATGTTAAAGCATTGAAGCTCATCATCGTCTAATAAAGTGCACTTTCAGTTAACTGCCAAACGGAGAGTCATCTCCTTCCCTCACACAAGTTCAGTCAGGTCCCACACGGTGCAGGACTCTCTGCACCTCAGCTCTTCTTGGTAGAACACCATCACAGTAAGATACATGAGACCAAGTGCAACGACTGAAAATCTCAGTAAGGGCGAGTGCATAAGTGTTAATGGAAGATCAGCACGTGAAAGAGTCTCTCTCTCATCACACCCGGGTCTGAAAAGTCTGCTATTCCAGCCACCGTTTTCTGCCCTGGCTCAGTTTAACCCAGTCGTTATCATAAAGCAGCAGATGGTGGCTTCTGCTCAGTACTCTGATTATGTAATCATGATTGTAAAACAGCACAGTATTTCTTTATTAACGGTTAACGCTAAGCTAAAATCTTTGCCATGAGCGTCTCTACATTATCAGATCTCAACTTTAAAAAAATATTTAGCTATTCCCAGAAGTGTTTCTCTACATAATATATATGTACAGCTGCATCTTTACAAAGAAAATAATGTTCTGTTAAAGACTGTTGCAAGGTCAGACTCCAGTTTTGGCACGTGTTCGTCATGACTTCACCCAGAAAACAGACTACGTGGATGAGACAGCAGAAACGAGTGCATTCAACACGCCTCTCATGTACAAACACAGACACTAACCTAACATAAATCCTATTCCTACGTCTTATTTATAACGAGATGTATTTGCAATGGTGATTCCCTCGGATGTGGAGCAAACAGGAATGTTGTTCACATGAAAACAAAGTGTTTGATGTTGCGCTCGAGAAAAAAGCGCCAGAGAGATCATTTACAGTACTGGGGATATCGTATCAATCGCCATTAAATTTGAAGAGATTTTCAGGATTGCAGTGTGCTACATCAGACACGCACACATCACCAAAGTCAGAGACAGATTAAAAGAAAATGCCTAAGCCATAATTCACCATAGAAATGGAAAAGAAAGGACAATGCAGTCCAAGGTTGCAAAGGGACACATAACAGAGGGGGAAAAACCAAACCAAACAGCACATCTACTACTCACAATTAAATGTACTGTATTTTAATCTCACCAGGAAACGTCACACTGGATACTTTCA